GCTACTCAAACACTTACATTGTAAAATATTGCAAATTGTTGTAAAATAACTAAGTTCAAAAATAGGTTTCTGGTAGTTTCTTTTACTCAATGAAATTTACTGTAGAAGCAGGAATGGTTGTGAGACAATAGTATAGTTGAAAATGATGTGGAAGTAAAGTTTATTTAATGGGTGGACGATATTTTCCGAGCAAGTCTCTTTTACTAGGTGTTGTTAATAAATCCTTCTAAATGTCATCACTTTGACTTAAATCACTTAATAATGTGATCACTTTGGCTTAAATCAGATTATCATGTCAACCTATTGCTCAAGATCAGTCTTAGATTTTGTTAGCTCATTAATATTTATATATTGACAATGGATAAATATATTGACCCAAGTACAGCCAATTTAATATTAATTTTTTTATCATAAAACATAACATTTTAAGATTCTAACTTTAAATGGTAAGAACAAGTTCAAAAAAATCTAAAATTAGCGGATTTGATGAGATTATTATAGTATATTAACATTTGAAGTTTGAAAGTAATGTAGTGAAGGCCTAAAACTGGTTTCGTTTTAAAAAGCATAGTAGAAAAGCATAGTACGGTAGGCGAGCACTGATCTTATAAGAAGTGTTATTATTAGACAGAATTGGAGGTGGGTATTAAAAGCAAACCCACAAGAAAAAATTAAATATTCAGTAATAAAAATACTAATTATAACAAATGAGTTAAGTAAGGATACATTGGTTGTATAGATAAGTCGCAACTTATTTTCAAAAACAATAAGGCCTAGAAGACTTTAGTTTCCAGCAAGTATGTTTGCGCAAATTGACGGTGATTGTATAGCCCGAAGGTGCACTATTGTTCAACATGAGTTATGGCCAATAACTAAGGGCATTGTGTAGTAATGGACGCACAGCGTGAACGAGCCCGGCTGGTCGCAACGCTGTTAATATTGTGGTGGGCGGACAGTAAGCTGTTAATACTTGTGGTATGAAGACGAAATGCTGTTAATATTGTGGTGCGGGGATGATATGTTAACGTGTAACATAACGACCGTAGGTTATATTTATATATATAAGAACTCCGAATATAGTTGAATATGGATGGTTCTGGCCGTTATTCATGTTGTGGATAGGCTGTTAATATTGTTGTACAAGGACGATAGGCTGTTAATATCGTGGTACGAGGACGATATGATGTTAATACCGTGGTACGAGGACGATATGATGTTAATACCGTGGTTAGAGAAAGATATGCTGTTAATACCGTGGTAGGAGAAAGAGATGCTGTTAATACCGTGGTACGAGGACGATATGCCGTTAATACCGTCGTATGAGAACGATAGGCTATTATACGGTGGTACGATGACGATAGGCTGTTAATACGGTGGTACGAGGACGATATGCTGTTAATATCGTGGTACGATAACGATAGGCTGTTAATACAGTGGTAAGAAAACGATAGGCTGTTAATACTATGGTACGAGGACGATAGGCTGTTAAAATATCATGGTACGAGGACGATATGCAGTTGTAGTTAGATGACGATATGGTGTTAATACCGTGGTACGAGAACGATAGGCTGTTAATACCGTGGTAGGAGAAAGAGATGCTGTTAATACCGTGGTACGAGGACGATATGCCGTTAATACCGTCGTATGAGAACGATAGGCTATTATACGGTGGTACGATGACGATAGGCTGTTAATACGGTGGTACGAGGACGATATGCTGTTAATATCGTGGTACGATAACGATAGGCTGTTAATACAGTGGTAAGAAAACGATAGGCTGTTAATACTATGGTACGAGGACGATAGGCTGTTAAAATATCATGGTACGAGGACGATATGCAGTTGTAGTTAGATGACGATATGGTGTTAATACCGTGGTACGAGAACGATAGGCTGTTAATACCATGGTAAGAGGACGATAGGCTGTTAAAATCATAGTACGAGTACGATAGGCTGTTAATATTGTGGTACGAGTATGATATGCTGTTAATACCGTGGTAAGAGGACAATAGGCTGTTATTATCGCGGTAAGAGTACGATAGGCTTTTAATATCGTGGTACGAAGATGATAGGCTGTTAATATTATGGCATGAAGACGATACTGTATCAATGCATGTTTGTATGGATTTATATGTTTAAATATCTTTAAAACACAGACGGTTCTTAAACAGTTCATAAAACTATCTCGTCGTACTTTATTAGGGCAGATTGAACAGTTCCAAGCCTCTAAAACATAGCGAAATAAAGTTATAGTAAGTGACCTGTAGGGCCAGTTCCCCAGCATAAAAGTCATGTGCTGAAAATATTGCAGCATTGGCTGTTAATATTGTGTTGTGTCATTGCTCAGCCGTAAATGTAAAGGTTATATGGCCAGAAGATAAGAGTGCACTGTGGTAAATTCATGCAAAACGGTAACACAAAAATATGTGGATACTGTGTGAGCCGAGTTAAAAATTAGTAACAGCCCGGGGTAAACTGACGCTTAACTAGTCCATGAAATGTTGATGTTAGCCCGTTACTAAAACTGAGTGTTCAACTGCCATCATTGGCCATTACTGCGCCATTAGCCGCGTGGCTCGTAATGCTAATGGGCGACTGCGATTGATACAGTGTAATTAGATTGTGTCGTTGTCACTTGTTACACGTCACACATCCGTACATTCATACTACGAAATATCATGTATTTGCATATAATATTTAGAAAAGTATATAATTTTGAAATATAAACGTCTATGTTCTTCAATGCTATAATTTATTAAGTAGTCGTCAATTTATGAGAAGCGGCACTATATGTAAGTTTTTGTGAAACCACGTTGAGTTTCCACGGCTCTAAATCTTCTCTACTGCTAGCTGAACACGCTGAGGTATAATGTAGGGGTGTCGCTTGTTTATTATAGGTCGGAAGGTAAAATAATTAACAATTTTATATGATAGAACAAATTAGTTCACCTTTAAACTTACATAAGCATGCATACATACATCATTATTCATAATTAATGTCGGGACGCTGCTATGGCGTATTTTAATTCAAATATTAGTAGAATAAAGTGAGATGCCTTGTGGAGCTTTGTTACTAAGATCAGCTATTTCATTAGCCAGTAACATTTATTGAGGACAATGAGTGCCCAATGATGAGGACAGCCTGGTTAGGCAAGCAATATAACCACTCATTGAAATACATTTAATTCATTGAGTCCGGGGTTATACCCCCGAAAATTTACCCCCATGAAAAAAACCTACGTCATTTTGACGTCACAGGTCTGGGGGTAGTTTTCCGGGCCCAATATTTTAGTACGGATAAATTATTATTTACTTCCATCAACTCACATTTCATGGTTGTAATTAATCAAAAGCCCATAAGCCTGACACCAGAATTTAACTTCTGGAAATCTTCCCCCGTGGTCAAATTGCGCTTCAACATACATACAAATGTGTTGCATTTGTATAACCTAACCTAACCCAACCCCCACGGGGGTAGATTTCCGAGGCTAGAATTCCTGGGTCGGACATTTCTGATTTAACCACTGGGGTAGATTTCCGGGGATAAAATTCCGTAGTATGGCAAATTACTGAATAAGCAAACAATAACATGTTGATTATTTAATAATATATTGGGGACAAATTTCCAGTCGCGGGCTTTTTCTCGACCGTGTATAGGTCCCGCCCCTCGTGACGTCAAAATGACGTAGGCGTTTTTTTCATGCGGGTAAATTTCTGGGGGTAGAATCCGCTACTCCCTAAATTTATCATACCCTTAATCACATGTTTTTGCCAAACTTGAAGCCAATCTTAATAAAAAGTGTTATTTAATAAGCCTCATAAAATACTTGCTATCGAGGTTCTACTGTATATTGAAGAGGTTAAATTTAATAACGTACTAAAAACTATTTTACACAATTTATTCAATATAGCTTAAGGGAATGTGTAACGAAACAGAGGAATTTCAGCACTGCAGTAGCTTACAATGGATTACAACAGATTCTGCATGTGACCATTTAATTTCACGGTCTGTTTGGATCAGCCAGGCTATGACATGAAGCTCGCTAACATTTGATTTGACCAAAAACAGCGTGGGAGTCAACACATGTATGTGAACATTGGTTGTAGTACATCAACAAACTACATATGCGACCATTTAATTTGACGGTCTGTCCTCATCAGCTCCAGACCATGTTGTTGATGGATTTGTTAAAAATTTGCATTCAACTAACTGTGTGGACACAATACATCAATAGATTGCCACTGTAGGTATTTATACTCGTGTATACCACTGAACTTAATACAGCCATAGTCTTTTGGATAATAAGGGAGTACTTGTGAGCGAATTTTCTTTTGATAAAGTCTAAAGTCTTCAACTGAATTCAGCTTTGACATGGGAATGCAGTGAGTGTCTAATATAGTCACAGATAGAATGATATAGATTGTATTAAGCTGTCTATAGTTTATTTTCCCTTTAAGTTGCATATATATAATTTATACGCAATATTTTACAGTACATTGTTCTTTCAGTTTTGATTTGTCATTATATAGTTTTATACGACAACAGTGACAAACCGGATCACAACAGTAATTGACAACCGGACAATTTGTCGTTGGCTCAACTAAGTTCTTTCAAATTCTATCATCACCATTAGATGCAAGCTAGTGTGTTTCAGCCACAACCATATGGACCTTTAAAACATTGCTGAAACCCATCTTGAAACTTAAGCCAATATACCTGTCCCTTAGCTAACTTACCAAAGGAGTCAGCCCTTACTATAGCAACAATCAAAAAGCCGTCTCATCCTGCAGACCGCATTTGCTAAATAAAAACACTATGGCATAATAAGCTGCTACATCGTAGGCCATTCGCAGACACATTCTGTGAATCTGTATCTTAGTCAAGTGTCTGTGGAGTAGGCATATACCTACTTGTTGATGCTACTCCGGTCTAGAAAAAGTTCAACAGCACTTTGTGCCGTGGAGACACAGATCTGAACCTACATGGGGATGGAACTGACCTGTCAGCACGGCGGGGTCTGGTAGTCTCTGTACAGGGGCGGGGTCGGCGGCGGGAGTGTTTGTTCTGTCGTCCTTGGAGCTGGACATGTGTCGACAATGGTGAGGTCTTCTGGTCCAGCATCCCACCTGGAACACGGCACAGTATGACGTCATTGGTGATGTAGTAAGTTAATCAGAATGACAGACAAAACTATTAGTCGTCATACTGCAGCGTTAACGGTTTGCTTTGCGAGTCTAAAGTAACTCTTTTTTGTAATACATATTGTAGCAAAAAACCGTTTTAAGACATACATACGTTGTGGGTCTAAAGTATCTTTTTACTCACTAGGGAGTAAAAAGCATTTTTAGCCCTTAGGGAGTAAAACTCAGCTGTTGTTGGCATAGTTCTAAACTTCTATTGTAAGCAATTGCATGTATCCAAATTATTTGTCGATTGATTTAGCCGGTTCTAGCTTGTTGTTGCATTCTTGTCAATAGTTCAAAATATCGATGGTATTTTATGGATCATGTGTTAATGCACAGTAACACAATCGTAATAGACGAAGTGATACTCGATCTCGGGTCGAAAAGTATCACTTTACGCCCTACTGATGAAATATGAGATTTCTTTATACCGAAGCTTAAACGGTTAAATACATGCTTTGCGGCTCTAAAATAATATTTTTTTCACAAGAATGGTCAAGAATCAGCTGGAGCCGAGGACTATTTTATAGTAAAAACCTAAATTATTCGCCTTGCCGAATAAAATGTTCTTACTTCGATTGTTGGCTTCACCCTCGTACTACAATGTATAATCGTGGCGAAAAAAAATGCAAGTTTCAAAATATGCCAGTAATTTTTAGTTGATTATTGTGTTGGCAGAGTAATACATGTGGCGTCTTAAGCCCCTGTCACACGGAGCTGGTTTTCTCGCCGCTAGTAACTAGCAGCTAGAACCAGCAGAAAACCAGCTTCGTGTGACTGATTCTCCAGCTGCTAGAAACACTAGCATGAGCTGGTATCTCCAGCCGCTGGAGGTTTTAAACAGTTTAATATTACAAGCGCTTGAAGAGTCACTAGCAGGTCATGTGACTACCCAGCTGTAGTCTCTAGCACCATCCCAGCTCTGTCTTTCAGTATCGTGCTAGTTCTTGCATTAGGAAAACAAATTCAAATTAATTCGACTCATTTAAACTAATCAAGAATCAATTTAAACTTTCATGTTTAGAAATTTTTTCACGCATTGTCATAATTTTCTCTTTACAATTGCTACATCTCACATATATTAATTAAATGAATGTGATTTTTTTGTGTTGATGAAAGATAAAGTCCTTTTGTTATAACAAAAGGACTTTATCCTACCACAACTTATTCGATTTTAATTAATTTACATGCCCGTAGTAGATAAAAAACAATAGTGTTTTTATATATTCATGTTTTATTTTTTCGTGGAACTTTTTAATTCTATGATGGCTGATCATTGACGTAACATAACTTCTAATACCAACATTATTTGTGTTACCTACGGAGTGTGTAGTTAATCCAATTACATCCCCAGACCTTTAAGTTGTAGCGCTAGTTCTCCAGCTTCGTCTGACAGGACTTCTAGCGCGCTGGAGAACTAGCAACTAAAAGCTGCTGGTTCTCGCAGCGAGAACTAGCTGCTGGAACCAGCTCCGTGTGACAGGGGCTTTAATGACGCCATCAGCCGTTTGCCTATGATTGTATTACAAAATGGAAACCATTTAGCCACCAAATTATAAAGCATTTAACCATTTACAAACATTACGTTTTCTTAAAAATGTTAATCATTTAAAAACTAGTATTGGGGTTGAATAAATGTATCTAATTACAACTAACGTGATATTCTGTCAAATACAGTAAAAAATAAACGAATTTGCACTTTATAAAGGGTTTTAATTTTACAAGGACAGAAAGGAGAGAATTGATTAATAAATTAATAATTAAAAATTAGTTAATAGCAATTGGCTTATATAGTCGAATGGTTAAGCTGAGTTGTACCATTATCATTGTGCTACAATAATAAATCGATTGCAGCACTCCTTCGTCTTTAAAATACCTTTTTCAAAGATTTTTCAACATGCGCATTTTTGGGACTGCTGGATATTATTAACGAATGTAAAATATTTAAATTACACGTTTCAACAAACCAGATTACAAGAGCGTAGGGGATGTTTTGTGAGGTAAATACAGTATTGGTGTTCTGCTGTGGTTTGCGGTGACCCAGACTTTACACACATAGTTGGTCAATGTTACAGCTTTAGTAATGCAGAATATTCAGCTGCGAGTAAAACGGTACTTCGTTAACGGTATTTCGTTAACGGTATTTTGTGTTGTTTACTTACAAAGAGCAAACCATTTGTTTATGTCCCCATCAATTTGAATAATGAAAAGGCATGATTAGTACAAAAAGATTTATTATTGTTCTTTTGCGTATTAAATCAAACAAATATGTCGTCAATGAAATTACTGCTCCAAGATGGATTATGGCGGTGTGAAGTTTACAAGCACGATTATTCACGGCAGAAACTAATCTCTCAACATTGGTAAACATCTGTAGAGTTATTACCCATGGTTTACTGTCATTTGTGATGAATAATACTATTTAATACAAAAGTTTACAATGATATACTCAATTTGGCTTGGTGACTGCATTACTCAATTTTTCTTGTATTTAAGCTCGCACGCTTGTATTGTCGGACAGTAAAGACGAAACAAATTTATTTATCCATGAATCAGAAATGAATGCTATTTTTTTGTCAAGTAAAACCTCCAAGATGAAATCCGTATTTAAGAAACCACGGGGCTATTGTAAAAAAGCCATACACAGAAATAATGTATTAAAGGCTTATTGGATTTTTGACAAAAGTGTGACACCATAATGATGGAAAACTTTCTTGATTTGACTAAAAACGTAAAGCTTTTTAAAACTATTGCCCCAATACTCAAAACATAAACAAATAAATTACATCGTGTTTACAACATTATCTGTTCACAATCTACAGGTTACAGGAATTACTTCGGTCGACGCATAAATCGACAACTAAACAGCTGTTAGAGTTACTGGCGAAGTGGTCGGAGGGGGGAATTGATTTGAACCAATCAGGTGACAGGACATCACTTGGGCCCATCAAGAGACCCAAGAGACCAATACATCCGTGTGAAGATCTGTTGATTCAGCACAGATCAGCGGTGATGACTACGGTGTGTTTAAGTTAAGTTCCAACCAACTAATCGTATGCCAGCTGAAGTAATGAATAAGCGACGTTTAAATACGTTAGAATCAATATTTTTCTTAACTTTTTGACCTATACCACTGATACAGTAGCCTAATCATACTCCTGCCGCAGCAAACCTGCAGACTAAGCGAGTTTCCAATTACCTGGTTGGATGTTCACTAATAATCCCCTTCAAATGCTTAAATATTCTCACAATCTAAAACACGTAACTCTTAATTAGTAAGTACTTAAGGTGTGCTGCTACAGAGATGTGTGTTTTAAGTTTATATTTATTGATATGTTAAGCTTAGTATGAAATTGACTAATTTGCGTAATTTAATCAAAATAAGTACATAAACAAGGAAACTACAACAGTTTATTCCGCTTAAAAACATGGGAATTTTTAATTTACATTTTCTTGAAAATTTGTAACCATTGCGCATAATAACGATTCGATACACTAAATTATTTGTTTTTTAAGCTTTACAAAAAGATATTCAATTCAATTCAATTCAATTCAATCATTTATTTTCACATAACGTTTACAAATCCAGCATAGCTGGGAAACAGGTGAAATATTCATATACATAAAATACATAAAACTATAATAACTACAAAATCAAATAAATACATCACCTAAAAAATCATTTACTTTATAATACGCTCTGTCAACCAGCAATTTGGCAACTTCTTTCTTGTATTTTTCAAACGATTCTAGTGATTTAATATTTTCAGGAAGTTTATTGTACAAAATTGTATTAAAATGCACAATTAATTGTACGTTTCGGAGTCAAAGATTGTAAAACCCAATTTTCACCCTATAAATCACCGTTCCATAGTCCGACCATGCTAGGTGCAGTCATCGATGTATTATACATCGATGATTACCACAAGATGTATTTCATCCGTGAAATAATTGCATGTGATTGCTTCTTGAGAAATCTGTGACAACAATAAAGAGAAGCAATATTACTTCAAACTAAAGATGCAAACCAACCAACGAATCCACGTAAAGAAACTGTACAGTATGCATAAATAACATGTACTTGTATCAGTGGTGATCGTTTGTTTTGTTGGATTATTTTGTTGAGGTTAATTTAATCAGAGACAGTCTGTCTCTGTAGGCAGTTTGGTTGGCTAAGTTTGTTATTCCAGCATACCTGATCACAGTTTTGCGTGTACAAGGTATGCTAACATTGATTTTACCGCTGCCCGCTCCGACACTTCATGGTCGCTGTACCAAACAAATGTTCACCTGTAAATGTTATAAATTTAAATTATTTTTAGGGGCGCTACCTAAATATAACTGTTTTGACTGATTATATAAGGTAATCTCAATGGATTAGCAAATCCTAGAATTTGAGAATGAACCCATGATGACAGCTATGCATCTTATAATACATAATAGCATGGAAAAATAATACACTTATTAAGATTTAGAGATTGTAATGCAGTAGCCTATTCGTGATAAAGATTTGACCAATGACTAAAATAATAAACTGTTGGCTTTGAAGAAATTAAAAACGATTTGTGCAAGTGAAAACCTCGTATATTGTTAGAAAAGTATTGTCATTTGTTGGTGTTTTAACCAGTTGTCTTCAATCGGCTTGTTAGTTCCTGGTGGATTCAATGTTTAATTTAATTTAATGGACTACAAAAATTTGTAATAAAACAGTTTGAAGAAAATAGCCCTCGTTAAACAATGCGTATAATATTTAACTAGTTATCTTTATTACCTTGAATAACAAATCATACGAAACACTCTCCTTTAAGTTAAAGCAAAAAGTCATAAAATTTTTTTTCATCTGGATACTCATTTTCAAAATGCTCAATTTCAATATTGTAGATAAGCGCACAAAAGAACACCGGTAGACGAAACTGGACTCCGACTAAAATAGAATAACGTAA